CCAAAGAAAAGAAAAAGGAGCTGCGGGACCTCCTCAGCTCAGCAGTGTCAGCACCCACCCAACTTCAAGACGCGTTGCATGAAACAACCTCGAGACAACAAGAGTCGTTGTTCTCCCAACGACAGTTATTCCCTCTCCTCCAAAACCAATAATAAAAAGCGCATTACAGTCCGGGGGTGTTGCTCTAATTATTGTGCAGAGAGTCCTTCTCCCGTTACTGGACGGCATACTCGAAATGGACGACCTCATGAGCTTGTAGGTCTTGTTTCTCATCAGCCAACATGTGCGTATTTGATCTGACTGCCGTGCTCCAGTGATGCCTCTCCAGTGCACGAGACGGTCACTCCAGGCCGACGAGATGCCGAACCTGCAACTTCCGTGTTCGACTGCGCCCCCCTTGACTCAAGTCAAGTCAATCTTCGAGAGTCGCCAAACGTTACATCATCAACATCTGGTGCACTTGATCCCAAAGACGAGCTGGCCGTGGCAAATGATGCCGCGTTCGAGGCTGTACTGCATCGACCTCGCCAGCCGGTGTACCTCGATGCTCCTCCGCTCCTCGAGCAGTGGGCAAAGGGGCCGAAAGGGAAGGAGCGGCTCCGTCAACAGGGCATTCCAACGCAACGTGGCCGGGCTTGCTTGGTCCTGTCGCACAATGGACAGGTTCTCGATGGTGTACTCTTGGCAACATATGAGGAGCTCGCCGAGGTGGCGAAAGATCAGGAAGGCTATCTGTTTGAAATTCAGGAGCCCTTGAGTGGACGCCCTTTCCTCTACATTGAAGCCCCATCCCAGTCGCTTGCAGCCAGCTGCCTGGATGAAGCCCGCACCATTGCCCAGAACATCATAGATGACAAGGCCACCAAGCTTGATCTCGTCCTGATCGAGCCGCCCAGTGCCCCATTGCAGTCACTGGTCGTACAGCTCCAACTTGGTCGTCCTCAACTTGTTGCCAACCAAACCAGTCCGCTTGACCCGGACAATGACGGGCTCCGAAAGACATGGTTCGAGAGCAAGCTGCGACAGGAATTATCATGGGCTCTCAAGAAAGCCGGCCGCATCAAGAATCGAGTCACCTTGCGCGTTCACCTGGGCCACTTTCTTTTGAGATCATTTCCTCCACAGCAAAGCCGAATACCAGGCACTGAGACGGGCTTGGATTTCGAGGCATTCCATAGGGCGGTCCGTCATCCTCGCACCAGACACGACTTTGCAACCAAGATTGGAAGCCTCGAGCAAGCCCTCCGAGTCCTGCAGGCCATCAAATCACAAAACGAGCTGTTTTGCTCCGAGGACATGGCTATTACCCTTGCCGATGTACAGCCCGAATACTACTTTGGTGGTGAGGTGGAAGAGTGGCAATTCAGTGCTCGCCTGCGCCCCTGGAGCGCCACCGCAACCGAGATGAAGCGTGGCAAGAAGCCTCCCAAGCCCTTTCAAGTGGCCGCGGTCGAGGCTGTAAAGATTGCCCGAAGCAATGCTGGCTCTCAACTTGATTTCAAGTGTTTGAACCTTGAGCAGTAAGCAATTCTCCAACCCAAGTTATTTTGCTCCGTGGGAGCATTCACAATCATCTCCACCTATTATCCCCTCGGAATGTTTATTCGAGCATCTCTTGAGCAGATCTTTCTTACTAGGCTGCAGCACATTTTTTAACAATGGAGCAAGAGCCAGGAAGCTAATCGTAAATGACATGGCAGGTTCTTTGACTGGAAGATTGACACCGTGCCAGAAGCACCAATTAGGACGAAAGGTTTTGACATACTGAACTCTGAACTGCGGGCTGCGGACATTCAAGTTCCCGAATCTACAGGTGTGCGCGATGGTGCCTTCCCGCGTATACACTTCAGGGGCAAATATGAAAAAGCAAAAGCACTGAACAAGGTGGCAATCAAGAGCGTGTTTCGATTCAGGTACAGGCCGGCCCCGTACCAGGTCGAAGTGACAATCACCCGTGAGTGGGAGAAGGTTGTAGCCATGGGAGACCAGCCATTGAACAGTTTTGGCGTCGTCATCTACGGCGAACGTTGGGGAGAAAGTCGAGCGCTGGAGCTCACCAAGACTGGTCAAGGCTGGGGCCCAGAGCTAGAACACCTGTTTGTCGATCGCCAAAATGATATTCACGCAGGGCTAGATCGTCTATCCAGTGGAGATGAGAGAGCTCAGTGCCTCATCGATGCCATCCACAACATTCGGAGCGCTCTATCTGTCTGAGCTTTTTTTTGGGGGGGTGAATACTGCTTGATGGTTTGTGGCAGTGAACGAAGCCTATGTACAGAAGACCTTGCCTTTATTTGGCCGCTCATTGAGAGATGGGGGCTGTTGCCAGGCAGGGCTTTGCAATATTTCGCCAAAATGGCACTGGGGAGATTTATGGACTGCTGCAGGGTTGTTATTGCTGCTGCTGCTGCTGTTGGGGCGCGGAAGCCATCTTCTGTCTGAGGACTGAGGAGCGAGACCAGTTAGTTATGGGCGCCAAGGCATTTGTAACAGAATAATGGCATATACCTTCTTCTATCACCCGAACGTTGTTTGTCTTGGACTGTATGATGGTATCGAGCTCCTTGATGTTGCTTCCAACTTCATTGACCTTGTTGTTGTAAAATTCGGTAGCGGACTTGATATCCTTTTCGACATAGAAACCAGTGCCAACATCCACAATAACATGTGAAGCGCTGGCAAGCTTGCCGCGAACGTAGAGGGAGTTGGTCAAGGGGACAAGAATGGACTTGTCATCTACAAGGAGGGTTGTTCTGCTTAGCATTCGTCGCCATGGCCTGGGCCGAGTTTCCCTGTTTATCGATGCTTCTGACGATTCACCCATCCATCATTGATAGCGCCGTCTGGGGCAGGAGGATGAGGAGGAGGAGGAGGAGGAAGGGATCTTGAATATCCACACGTACCCTCGAGTGTAGGAGACTTGCCGCCCTGTACGCAGCGGAGACATTCGCGGAATTTGGACTGGGCGGCAGCCAGCTGGGTAAAGGACGTGGTCAGATGCTCGAGCTCCTCGTCGAGTTGCTTCTTGACCTGGCTGAGCTGGGGAGCGCTCAGGGTGTCGAGGTTGACTGTGAGAAGGGGTGAAGCTGGTTAGCAGCTGGCTCTTCGGGGGTATTGATGAATAATAGCCCAAGGAAAGAAAGGGACCTGCGGGAGGTGATGAATGATTGAATGCATTCATTGTACATGGGGGAAGACAACAACAACAACAACAACAAGCTACCTAGCTATACACGGCTCGATTGAATGGAATGACGAGTACAGACGATTGACTTACCAGTCTCTCCACCTCCTTGGGCCGACATGGTGTATTGTTTCGTAGGTCGTCGGGAGACGGTATGTGAAATGTAGAGATGCTGGATTGGGGGAGGGGAAAGCCGGCCGGGCTGTTGTTGGTGCGCCGAGACTGTGAGCTGGTACGGTGGTGTTTGCTTGTAATAGCACCGAAAGATAGGTACCTACCCTCGCCTATCTTATCCGTGCTTGAGCTGGGCCCATTGGTCGTCGCGCTTCTTGTCCCCTACTACTCTTCCGATTTCTTTTTGCGCTGCCCCGCCCAAATGGACCGCAGAAAACATGAACTTTTTGGCGGGGTCCTCCACGAGCGAGTTCATAATGTGGGGTGGGGGGCCAGAGACTGGGCTGGGCTGGGCTGGGCTAGTATTCTAGTTCTAGTGCTGTGGTAGGATTACTATATTCTCCCCCTCCACTGGTTATTACATTCATTCTTCTTGGAAGCATTATTATTACAAAGCTTGCAAAGGAATGATTATTCCCCATTGTAGATTCTCAATAGTCTCACCCCGCTCGTGATTCACCATCATAGAGGTAAACACCACGTCTTATTATCATTATTGAATCCCTGTGAGATGCCGTCTGCTCACCTCGGTGAAAACTAGGTATAAAAGGCTTTTCCCTTCTTTTTGGCCACATGAGTGGACAGACTGGCCTCATACCAATAGTAACAATCTACATATGATATACTCTTCCCAGCCCTCGTCCTGCCGTGTATACTTGAGACAATTCGAGCCATGGATGGTCAATTACCAGCATAGTACATAGGTGCGGTATACGTATGGCAAGCGAGTGGATCCACGGGTGCGAGTCTCAGGGCCCCGACTGATTTTGACTATATATAGATAGCCGTTTAGGTAGGTATATGTATACTTGGCCGCCTGCATTTTCAATCTATCCAGTTGGACTGTTGCGTTCGGTCGCGTCTTCTTTTCCCCTCCATTCATATATATACCTAACACATATATTTGTATCGTCTGTACCTTATCCGCCGCATTTTATAAATATAATCATGCAATGCAACAGGCCGAAAGAGAGAGAGAGAGAGAGAGAGAGAGAGAGAGAGAGAGACAGAGAGAGAGAGCATATCAGAGTAACCTGTAGATAGGAACTTGGAAGTGTTTCCGATGGGGCGGACCCTCGCGGTATCTGCCGATTGCCGTCGGCTCCATATCGACACTTGCTGGCTTTCTCTTCTTCCTTATCACAAGAAGAAAGTCGCATGAAACTGGCCTGCTTGACGTACATTGCAGTCCGATATATACAGAAATCTCTGTGTCTACGTGTCATAGCGCCTATCTCTCGCAAAAGGCGCCCCCTCCCCATTGGAGGAGGAATATCTGGCAATGATCAACAAAGTATCCCATGCTGCGCTACCAAAGTCGCTGTTAATGGTTACGGACTCCGCAATCCTAGTTCTGTCGGCGTTGGTGCCGATATTGTCGCGTCTAGAGAGTTGTTTGGCCGTTAGTCGGGGCTGCATGTCTGTTGTGATATCAGTCATATCATCTACCACCTTACGTTCTATACCCTGCTCAACCGAAACCCTTGTAACATTTCAGATATGCTGTTGACTTATCTCTCACTCTCTCTCGGTTACATCTTAATTTGTGATCAAGCTCGACATTGCGTATTTCATGTCACTTTCCTGGTATCAACCACTTGAATATACCCAAGACAGGCAGAAGGGACAAAAAAAAAAAACCCTCCAAGGCAACACTGCTGAATACTGTCGACCACGCAGAAACAAGTTTGCAAATCTGTCTTCACCGTCCCATGATGTCAGATGCTGGCACGCTGCAAGTTCTCACGCCTGGTACAGGCTACGGGCTTGTTGTTGGGTTAGGTGTCGCCTTCACGGTGATCATGATATTTCTGACATCGCTTCAAAATCGATACGGCAGACACAACACATTCAAGTCAACCGAGGAATTTAATGCTGCCTCACGATCGATCAAACCAGGTAACCGTCAACCCAACACGCCCATCATTCTTCTACTCATGCTTCTCATTGATTGGCCGAAAACTAATCACCTTACAGGCATGATTGCTGCCGGAATCGTGTCTAGCTGGACCCACGCCACGACTCTACTGACTTCGTGTATGCTAGCATATCTATATGGTGTCTCCGGTGGACTGTGGTACGGGGCAGTCGGTACTTTCCAGGTACGCGATTTTGCAAAATGATAGTCTACCAAAGCCGACCACAAACGGAGGCCTGGAAACTCTCTTCTCCTTTTCTCCCATCTTGCCGTTTGTTGTAGTGAAGGCGGTTGTCTAGATTGTCCTGACGACGTTCCTAATCACCAGACTATGCTATTTGCTGTCACTGCCTTTCGCATAAAGGAACGCTCCAACAATGCGCACACATTTCCTGGTAGGTGCCATACTCGCAAACTGCATGTCTCCATAGCGAGGAAACGGATGGATACTTATTCAGACAGAAATCGTATTGGCAAAGCACGGAAAGCTGGCCCACAAGATCTACACCGTGTTTGGACTCATCACTAATGTGATCAACGGATCGGCACTGCTAACTGGCGGTTGCGGCGTTTTCAACGCCTTGACGGGGATGAATATATGGGCGTCTTATTTTATTCTCATCGTTGTAGTAGAAGTATATTCCCCAGCCCATGCTTTCTCTCCATGTTGACGACGTTGGGGAGGGGATTTTCTGGCTAACGCCCAACCCAGGCATATATAGTGACTGGTGGGCTGCGGTCAACATTTATATGCGACTACCTGCATACAGTGGTCCTGTACGTGATCATCTTCATCTTCATGTTCTCCGTCTATACAGCGTCACCTCACATAGGGTCTCCCGAAGCGCTTTATGATCTGCTCGTGGAGCAATCAGGGAATGGGCACGCTGCAGGAACTGAAAACGGCTCTTACTTTACTGTCCGCTCGCGAGACAGCCTGGTATTCGGTGCAACCATCTTTCTGGCGGGCTTTTCTGGCGTCTGGACCGACCAAGCATACTGGCAGAGAGCCATTGCTTCAGCTCCCCACACGGCTGTGAAGGGCTATGTTCTGGGGAGCTTGGCATGGTATGCAGTGCCGTTTGCCATGTCCACCTGTATGGGCCTGGCCGCTGCAGCTCTCCAGGGTTCCGATGTATTCCCCGTCACCCTGTCGGACGCCGATGTCAGCGCCGGACTTGTCGCCCCAGCCGCTGCCATTGCGCTTCTGGGCAAGTCGGGGGCGTGCCTCATTATTGTGCTCTTGTTCATGGCCGTCACCTCGTCAACATCCGCGGAAAGCATTGGCGCTAGCTCGCTGATCACCTTTGACATTTACAAGGCCTATATCAATCCCGCGGCATCAACCCGTCGCCTTCTCTGGGTCTCTATATTCGGTCTCTTTGCATATGGAGTTGTCCTGGCCATTGTGTCGTGCATATTTCACGCGGCTGGCATATCACTTGGCTGGCTGGTCAAGATTTTCGGGTGTCTCATGGGGGGAGGCTCTTTTCCTATAGCTGCAGTTGTGCTCTGGGATAGGACAAGCACTTTTGCCGCCCAGGCGAGTCCCATCTTGGGCCTCGTTAGTGGGCTGTCTGCCTGGATGGTGACAACCAAGGTGCGCTCTGGCACGATCAGTGTCGCAACCACGGGAGACTCGTTCAACTCACTTGCTGGAGACTGCGTCAGTTTAGGCGTCGGGCTCGTCTCGGTAGTGCTACTCACGTTTCTATCTCCCGAGAAAAGGCCCCATGCCAAAGACGTCGGGCGCGTGGAGAGTATGGAACCGAGCTCGGTCCAGAGTGCTGAGGGGGTCGTCGTGCCCGTGGTACAGGAGGATAAAACCGAGGCCGTCTCTCAGCCTGATGTGGAGGCAAACATTGTAGAGAAACGCTTTTCAACCGAGCCCTACGTACCTGTTTCTGCCTTGAGTAAGGACGAAGTCAAGGCGCAAAAGCGGCTGGCTCTGGGTGGCCTAGCCTTCAACACCATTGGTTTGATGATATTATTGCCATTCACTCTGTATGGGACCGGTTATACTTTCAGTCTCGGATTCTTCAAGGCCTATGTGGTAGTAGCATTCTTGTGGATTTGGACCAGTGCATTCATCTGTGTCCTCATGCCAATATGGGAAGCCAGAAAGGATTGGACGGGGACGTGCAAGGCGATTTTCAGGAACGCCACATGATCTTTTTTTTTGGTTGGTT